ACATACGAACCAGGAATGTTAGTACAAAGAGCATTAGGACTGCAGTCGTTGTCTCTATTCGTACACTCATCAATGTCTGAAACGAAAAAAGGAGGTTGAAGGGAAGGAAGGAAGAAAGGAAGGAAGGAAGGAAGGGAGGGAGGGAGGGAGGAAGGAAGGAAGGACCTGTGGCTTCTTTTTGTTTACTGCCTCATTGTTTAATGAGTATAATGCCGTCTAGCCGATGACATCTGTATTTTCTTTTATATATATGTATATATCAATAAATAAATAAATATGTATATATCAATTCATTTCATATTTGTATATATAACTATCACATTGTATAAATCAATAATAATTATTATAGCACTTATATATTATATCTGTAAATAGTATTTAATAATAACAATAAATTGATTGATTGATTGGGAAAAAAATGAAGAAAGGAAGGAAAGAAGGAAGGAAGGAAGGAAGGAAGGAAGGAAGGGAGGAAGAAAGGAAGGAAGGAGAAAAAGAGAAAGGGAGCGCATACATACCAATACAGTTAGGACCTTGAAATCCTTGTTTACAGACACACTGTGGACGACCTTCTTGAAGTTGGCACACGGCATTTTCGCCGCACTCTGGCATACACGTGGTCATCATGTCTTTAGTAGGAAAAGAAATCATTCGTTAAATAACAAAAATCGGAATGGTAAAACAAATATTGTCGAAATTATATTATTTTAGTAATGATGATGATGATAATGATGATGGTGATGATGATGATTATTATGATGATTATTATGATGATAATTATGACATATCTACGGGGTAGCTCTACATTTGTTTGGAGACCGTTATAGAGAGGTTGACCGTTTACTACCGGTTGAACTAAACAGAAAACAAGAAAATGCTACTGAAAAAATGAAACGAATATGAAAAAATATCAATATTAGCCTTTTAACATTAGTACCCACCAACGCAAGTTATTCCATCACCAATGAAACCAGGCAAGCATTGGCAAATATATGAACCTTCATTATTTGAGCATAATGCATTTTCGTTACAGTTGTGCGTTCCTTTTTCACATTCATTGACATCTGAAAAGGAGAATTGTCGTCATATTTTAGTCTTTATCGCTTTGCTTTGGAAAAACTATTCTATCCATTTCAGACCATCTCTTACTATAGTTCTCTCTTGCAATAGATCCTTTTTTTTTCATTTTCGATGGTAATCGTGCTTGTGCATTGATGCAAGGACGGCGATGACCTTACAATGATGCTGCAATAATACAGACATGTGAATAATTGTCCAAGTTGTTAGGTCTCTATCATTGCAAGGTCACCGCCGTCCTCGCTCCGATGCACAGGCACGGCTCCCTTTCAAGATGACGCAGGGAAATGTATAAGGGATTATTAAAATTTTTCTGCAAAATCCAAAAAAACCTGTAAAAATGGAAGGAAGGCATCTTTTGGCATCGCAACACAACTAGGGTGCAAATATTGATTGCAATTTTGGACGTACACAACAGAGAGTGTGATCATGAGGGCAAAACGATATAAATTTTTGCGTAGAAAATTTTTTGGTGCCAAAAACATTGCATGGTTGCTGCCTTGGTGTGAGATATTTTACTCTATTGCAACGTTTGTCCTGAAATTCCAACACGACTGCTACGTTATTAAACTGCAAACCCCTTCCATTTTATAGCACAAAAATGTGGCGGATAGACTACGCTGTTTGATTTCTGTGGAACCGATTGGAACTACTTTTTTTGCAGGATATATTCGTTTTCCTCCTGTAACACGAAATTAAAATCTGCCTCTAGCAACAACTTGTACCTGTACAGTTCCTTCCATCGCCTTCGTATCCAGCAATACACTGACAGGCAAACGAGCCTTCTGTATTGATACAATCAGCTAGCTCGGAACAATCATGCTCTTCAAGTACGCATTCATCTTTGTCTGGAAAAACGTTAGAATAAAGGTAGTGAATGCTTCGGTAGATTACGTAATCATTTTCGGTTAAATAGAGTGAGCCCTCACGGCCGAGCCACGTCGTGTGGCAAAGAGCAGACAATAAAAATATATCAACAAATTAAATACAAAAATAATACATTATAAAAAATACATGCGAGGTTCGTTATTTTGGTCTCTGCAACGAACTAAACAGGTCTCAGTGGGTGAATTTAAGAAAGGGATGCAGATTTTTCAGGTAATTTCAAAACTAAATCAGCTGCTTTTCCTTTGTGCAGTTATTGCGCAGAAAACTGGTAACGAGTTTTAAAAAGCTTTTCGCCATACTCGGGAAACTTAGTCCCCTGAAACATCCCCAACATTCAGCGCGCGTCCTATTCGTTAAAGTTTGGAAACCTTAGAAAGGTTAATCCGCGGATAATTGAAATAATAAATTCAGTAATCGTGGCATTAATTATTACGGGACAAAATAAATACCTGTACAGAATTGTCCGTTCCCTTCAAAGCCTTTTCTGCAGTGACAGACGTACGAGCCATTCGTGTTGGTACACAATGCATTTTTACCACAAACGTCAAAATCGCACTCGTTTACATCTGAGAATGAAATATGTTTTAGTTTATCGCTAGAAGAGCAAATACATGGAGAAAGAAGGAAAGAAGGAAGAAGAAAATGAAAGAAATAAAGAAAGGAAAGAAGCGAGCGAGCGAGCCAGAAAGCAAGCACGTAGGTAAGCACGCACGCAAATAGCAATCAAGCAAGAGAGAACCAACAACTGGCCATTGCCTGATTTCATATTGGAAGGGACTGGGTACGATTGCGATAATCGACACAAAAACCACACAGTAAGAAAGAGCACATTAACCTATAAAAAATCCCGAAGTTTGGTATTAATCGGGTTGATACTGATCAAGATACAGCAATTCCAAAACTACGAAATTTACCAACAAATGTATGGATAGGACGTTTGCAAGATGGCGTCATTGACCTTTACTACCAGACTCCTTTGCACACTTTCTTTTGTTCAGTTAATTAACACGAATTGTCTTGCTATTCTCATGAGGAAATGATACAAATTTAAATAAGAAAGAAAATTCGCGAAGCATTTTGGTTGTGAGAGTCAAGTGGCGCCATCATGAAAACGTCCTATTGCCGGACGAAACACACAAACAGGTAAGAATGTGGAGTCAAAATACTAACCTTCGCAAGTCTCTCCATTTCTTTTGAAGCCCTTCAGACAACGACACATATAAGAACCTTTGAAATTAGTGCAGAGCGAATTGCTTGTACATACACGCGTATCATCCAAACATTCATCAATATCTGAAAGAAATTTAACTAGGGTCAATTTAGCCCCAAAAGATAAAGAAACTGGAATTTAAGGTATTTAAAATACTCCAGGACAGAGGCGACAAGCCCAGTGGCGGATCCAAGGGAGGGGTGCAGGGGGTGCGCACCCCACCCTGGTTCAACTCTGTGCCCCTACTTCGAAGATAACTAATGCAAAATAATGTTATTTCCCTTTGATTTTAAGGGGTGCACCCCTCCAGGGGTTAACTTTGTGCAACGGGAAGCACGGGTGGCGTAGCGGTGTGAGCACTCACCTCTGATCAATGCGACCCGAGTTCGAGTCCCGCCGGGTTCGGTGTTGTATATGAGTAGAGTTGTTTGTTGGTTCTCTCCTGTGCTTCGAGGGTTTTCCGGGTTTTCCGGTTTTCCTCCCTCCACAAAAATCAACTCCTAAATTCCAATTCGATCACGGAATGAGGGCCACAGATTCGTTAGCCACTGGCTATTAAGTGCTATCCTCGTGAAAAAAAGGACGGTTTTTTCTAGTGCACCCCTCCCTGAACAAATTCCTGGATCCGCCCCTGCAAGCCTAACAGGTTTTTTCACTCAGTTGATAAAGCAGCCAAAAGGTCGAATTAGAATTTTGAAGTCCAMTTTTGAGGAGGGAGAAAAAACCGGACACTCCGAAGAAAAAAACTTCGAAGCACAGGAGAGAAACATCAAAGAAGTCTACTCACATACGACACTGAGCTTGTCTTGTCGCATCGGTTACATTAGCAACGCACAACACCTGTGCGCACTTCATTCAATTTCCTATTTCATTCGAGATGGAGGTGTGGGTTGTGGAAAGGGAAGCGAAGGGGTAGGGGAAAAGCACTCAAATACCTGTACAGGTCTTGCCGTTTCCAGTGTAACCTTTCATACATCGGCAAACGTATGAACCATCTGTGTTAGTGCACAACGCATCGGGATGGCAATCATTCTCATCAGTACATTCGTCGATATCTACATATTAAAAAATCGATATTTATGTTTCGATAAACTAATAGCTGTTGGTTAATATTTGCTCTTCTTTTTCCATTAGTGTCGGTGCATCAATGAAAATATTTTTTGAGCCCCTTTTTAACCAAAAAAGAAACGTTTGCTTCTTGAATCAAATGTGTGAAGCTACTGAGGATCAAAACATGAAATTCTTGCATGGCAGGCAGAACAATGGCCAACCAAGCCAAATTTGCTCCTTAAATCAAGCGCGTGAGGTCAATGAGGATCAAAACATGAACCTCCTTGCTTAGCAGGCAGCACACTAACCAACTTATGGCCCTCTTGCTTAGCAGGCAGCACACTAACCAATCTATGGACCTCTTGCTTAGCAGGCAGCACACTAACCAACCTATGGACCTCTTGCTTAGCAGGCAGCACACTAACCAACCTATGGACCTCTTGCTTAGCAAGCAGCACACTAACCAACCTATGATCCTCTTGCTTAGCAGGCAGCACACTAACCAACCTATGGACCTCTTGCTTAGCAGGCAGCACACTAACCAACCTATGAACCTGTTGCTTAACAGGCAGCACACAAACCAACCTATGAACCTCTTGCTTAACAGGCAGCACACGAACCAACCAAGCCACACTTACACTGAGGTTATAAATGTCACGGTGGAACTCTTGCAATATTACTATTTATTATAAAATAACTGTTATGAATGTCGCGTTCTGATTGGTTTGGAGCGTGTTCTTTATGATAGCACATTGCTGGCGAGCGTACTTTCCCTTGCGTCATTCCTATCTATTATTGTAATTTGTATTTTATAAAAGAAATAAAAAACTTGCTTGCTGTGCTGTGTGCAGTCATAAAGCACATGGGGATTGGCAAAACACTCGAGAAGTGTCCAGAAGCACTCCGCTACGCGTCGTGCTTCTCCTAACACTTCTCTCGTGTTCTGCCAATCCCCGCGTGCTTTATGACAGCACACAGCACGCGCGCGCGTTTTCTATTTCTTCAATAGAGAGCGTACTGAGTTGAGAAATTATGAAATTTTGCCTTACCTGTGCAAGTAATTCCATTTCCTCTGTATCCTCTTCTACATATACACTGACTTTTGTCATCCACCAAAACGCAATCAGCATTGACGTCACATCCTTGAGGGCACACGCCTTCGACTGAATGAATACCCAAGGCTTATTAGATCAAAAACAACAACAACAACAACAAAAGAATGACGCTAAATCGTACAGTAATGTCGCACCAGCCAAGAAGAGATGTCAAGATTGGCCAAAACAATTCATAGTTTTCATTATTTACTTGTTCTATTGTTTCGTTTATTGGGTTAGATCTTCTTAGAGCTGCGACCTTGCGTGCAAATCGCAAGGGGAAGCTGAAAAATAAATCTTGAAAAGAAGCCTTTCCCTTTTGGAAATACGAGAGCAAGTCATAGGAAACGTTCCTGCAAGAATTCATTTGGCACTTTTTGATCAATGATTTTGTCTTTGCAATGCTAGAAAGTGTCATTTGTACATGTACCTTTACAAACTTCTCCATCACCTATGAATCCCTGTTTACATTGACATTTGTAGGATCCTTCAGTATTGATGCAGGTTGCATTTGGATGGCAGTCTTTTTCTATACCTTCGCACTCATTAATGTCTACAGAATAACAGAATAATACTTTCAATAAGTAATACATTATTGTGAAAATATAAAATTGCTTAGTTTCAATGGGCGTCTTTTTTTTTGAGAATTGATAATTTTCACGGGCGCCATGTTGGATGAATTTAACGAAAGATTCATCATTAGTCTCTTTTGTTATATCCTCCAACATGGCCGCCATGTCTTTTGTAAATATAGTGTTATTACATTCTCTTGAGAATGATTGAAAACCAACAATACGAAATTGAGTTACTGTTGAGATTTCTTGTTTGTATTCTTATGCGCAACCATTAAACAAAGAAATAATACTGTAGGGAATGATTAGGTATAGGATTAGGTATATTCATACTCGTAATATCGTGAATGATTTCTTATTCCGCCTAGACTTTCAAACTGTTAAGACAAGCTTATCAATGCACACCTCCTCCCCGTGCCTATCCTCGAATTTATTGTACTTCGGTTTGCGTTTTTTTTGCCCTAAGCCTTTTACTGGGCCAAATATAATCTGACAGTTCTGTTGTTCAGCAGTTACTTTTTGAACTGGATGAAGAAATATTTTAAATATCCTTTGGGGTCTATGTCCATTTTAACTACACTTGAGTCGTTTATTCTTTAATTGACCCTGTAAACTACTTATATCAAAGCACTTCTAAGTCTGGAATATACATTATTTCAATAAAGTTAGTCACCAAAGATCTGGAAAGCTGATATCACTTAGCATCATGGGAAACTTTTTATATCAAACAGGTAAAGCTTTTTTAATACAAACTGCAGCTTCATGATGCTCAGAAAAGGTGAGACTGTAACCGGTTAAAGATTCGCAAGTCCATGAACAGTTATCTAGCGGTTGAACGTGTGAAATGAATCTACCCATAATCCTTGTCGGCCTCAGCTTAATAGCTTTTCAGGTGACTAATGTTATTGAAATAAGTATATATAGAATAGATAAGTAGGAATATTGGAAACATGAAGACAAGAACCGAATTACCTTTGCAAACATTGCCGTTACCAGAGTAACCATCTTTACAGCTACAGCGAAACGATCCTAAAGTGTTCATGCAATTCGCATTTTCATCACAGTTATTGGTAAGTTTCTCGCATTCATCTTCATCTAACAAAAGCAAAAAGTAAACAAAACATTTTTAAAGGATCGAAAGATGATTTCTAGTTAGAAACTACAAATTGTTATTCCTCGTTTTTTAAATTATTAACAATTATACCTCACTTTTCAAGTAGTTCATTTACCTTGGCATTGAGTTCCATTTCCAACAAAACCCTCTTTGCAACGGCAAACATAACCATTATCGTGAACGAAACAATCAGCGTTCGGATGACAATCATGTTTCCCTTCAGTACAGAAGTTCACAGGCAAAACCGCTTCACCAGTAGTTGGTTTTCCAGCAGTGGTGGTTGGTTTTCCAGTTACTACTTCATCAGTAGTGTTTGGTTTTCCAGTTACTACTTCATCAGTAGTGTTTGGTTTTCCAGTTACTACTTCAGCACTGGTTGGTTTTGCTGTTACTGATTCAGCAGTATGGGTTGGTTTTCCAGTTACTACTTCATCAGTGGTGTTTTTTTTTCCAGTTACTACTTCAGCACTGGTTGGTTTTGCTGTTACTGATTCAGCAGTAGTGGCTGGTTTTCCAGTTACAACTTCAGCGGTGGGTGATCTTCCAGTTACTACTTCATCAGTGGTTGGTTTTCCAGTTACTTCTTCAGCAGTGGTGGTTGGTTTTCCAGTTGCTACTTCACCAGTGGTTGCTTTTCCAGTTCCTACTTCATCAGTGGTGGTTGGTTTTCCAGTTACTACTTGA